TAATATTAAATATTTCGGTATATAATATTTTTTTATTTTGAATTTTTATTATTTGAAGAATATTTAAATTTAATAACTCGTAAAATTATAATTTATATTGTTAGTACACAATTTCGTTGTAAGTTTCATAAAAGTATACAATTATTAATAATATGAATATTATTAAATCAATGTTTTTTTTTTTAATTTTTAGTAGATATTTTAAAGTTATTACATAATTTTATTATAATATTTAAATAATTCTTAATCCTTTTAATTAAAACTTTCTTTTGATAGATATTGATAAAAAGTGGGAGATAGGATAAATATGATTTAGAGATAATTATACTAAATTAGAAACAATTTAGGAGATAAATAGGAATTATAGATAATTTTGGAGAAAGTGGTGGATAGTGGTGCTACTTGGGTAGATTAAATTAGATTTTTATGGAGAGAGATTTTATGAATAGTCTTAGGAAGGGATATCCACATGGATAATGGGGAAAGCTCAGGTCATGGCGTAGCTTCATTCTACTTTAGTATATTTATGGATTAATCCATATATTTTTATTCAAAATGGGAGCATGGTATACATAAGAAATAAAACATATGTTTTTTTTTCACTCAAATTGGTCAATGTGAAAATGATACTTTCTTCCTTAACTTTATATTTATACCTAGTACAAGTAAAAATCATTGGGGGAGAGTATCCCCAAATACCAAAAAAAAAAAAAAAGCATTACAAAACAAAAATCAACTTTGCACTTTTATGAATAAGGCATGAATGTATTTGTACGATTTATTAAAAATATTTATATTTGTGTCGAGCATTTTGCAATTGTACCCTTCTCAAATTTCTCAAATGGAGCTTTCAATTTATTTTTTTATATTTTTTTCTTTCCCCCTATACTTAGGCTATATATATATATATATTATTTCAATTATATTTTCCTTTTATTATGTTATTTTTTCTTTACTTTCATTTATTGTTTTTTTTTTCGTTTTCCTTGTGTTAACGTGAGTCCGGCTTCAGTCAGAGCAAAGCCTATTTGAACAATCTTTACAGCCTTGCATTGTGAATATCTCCCTACTTATGTACTTTACTTCATGGGTAGATATTCTCAATGTAAGGTTACAAGAGGCTGCTGGAACGGTGTGAGCATGAACTTGCTCTTACTTAAGCCAAACTCTGAATTGGTTTGAAGTTTGAACAATTTTCACGAGGGACGACTGACGGTGAGAGCAAGAGCATTGATTGAATAGAATCTTCTAGCCTTCTAGGTAGGGGTTCAAGTAGAATCGGCCCACGGGCCCAGCCCAAATTCAGCCCATTACCGTGATAGCATGTATCAGTATTCTTCCATACGTCTACGTTGTTGTATTACCCGTCCACATTCATAGATCGGGAGCCCCAATATGCCATCTAGCGATGAGTAAGCATAGAAGGGCATACGCGTGAGGACGACAACGACATTTTCATATTAAAGATCTTTCTAGAAACATGGTATCTCGAGTCCTCTAGGACCATCACGGCCGTAGTACTCCCCAAGGAAAGCATTTAAAAAATAATAATAGGAAAATTTTCTAATCAATCCAACTTTAAAATGTGACAATACAATATCCAAGCTTTCAAAATGTGACAATTGAGTATTTAAATTTTCAAAATGTGACAATTCAATACCTATCATTAACTAGTCCCTTAATCAGCTGTTTGAGTAACATTTGAAAAGTCAAAAATGCCCTATGAATGTCATCTATTTATCTTCATCAATCATTCAAACATTGACAATAAAACGAACAATCCCAAATTCTTTATTCTTCTAAATAGTCACCAACTTTTTTGAATAAAAATGGCTATGATTTTAGACTATTCATTTTTTTGTCAATGTTTAGATGGTTGGTAAAGAGAATTATATGGCATTTGAAGGATATTTTTTACTTTTCAAATGTCACGTAACGGCTGATTAACGCCAGGTACTGCATTGTCACATTTTGAAAGTTTGTATACCGAATTGTCGCATTTTATAGTTAGGGTACCAAATTGTCACTCGAGCCAAATTACATCCCAAAATAATAATAAAAGCGTTGTACATCCTTTTATATGCTAGCTTTTTTAGTAAAAAAATTCTTTATAGTTTTATTTTAGCAAAAACCTCTGCTAAACTTTTAAATATCTCTACTAAAACCTCCTTTAAGTGATTTAGATAGAAACTAGTAAATTTACAAAACTACCCCTGAATAATTGTCAAGAGACCATAAAACCTTTCAAAATGTCAGAATTGCCCCTACCTCCCCTTCCTCTCACAATAAAAGGGAGCAGTGTGAAATCCTTCCCCCGATCTCCTATTCACTGGCTTTTTCTCTTTGATTTCTTCTTTTTTCCCCCTTTTCTCTCTCTCTCTCCCCTCCATCCCCACTTTCCCCACTCTTCCATCAAGTCGATTGAGTTAGAGCAACTAAAGGCACTATTAATATTTTATGTATTCGTTTAAAAATTGTAATGTTTTGGTCTTCTCATCTTGCGAGGGTTTCACTGTTGATGGAATTGCTACCATGTTTTTGTTATAGATACATTGGCCATTCCAAAACCAAGCTGAGATTTCATGGGTTTGAGCATTGATTATTTGCAATAGGGCAAACAAGGGTGAGTTCACATCTCCACCCCACAACACATCCCCATCATGTATTGAGAACATCTCCCGATGATGATATCATCGGTTCTGGTACTATCATTGGGGGATGTTCCCAATACATGATGGTGATGTGCTGTGGAACATTGTGGGGTGGCCCCTTATGGGGCAGAGATGTGAACTCAACAAGGGCAATGGGGGTGAACAACTTCTCTACAAAAAAGCTGGAGGACCTAATAAAATATTCAAAGGTGCCACTTGCTGTGAATTAGGTTGAATGCCACCCTGTTTGGCAGCAACCTGCATTGCACAACTTGTGTGAATCAACCGGTGTTCATCTCTTAGTAAATTTTTGACTGGTTGATTTGGAGTTTGATAGATTGCCTAGTATAATTGACTAAGCTTCATAGAAATTCCTCACATGTACCGTTGGCCTAATGGCATTCCAACGATTCCTAGGGGATCAAAAGCAATGAAATTTACGCAAGAAAGGTACCCGAAGTCAATTCATGAGGCAAAATTTTTCCTATATTTATTATTAAAATTCCAATTGTGTAACCAGAAGAAAAAAGAAATGCTTGATTCATGATAGACAAGGACTTTTCTAAGAAGTAGAACAACCTTCATTAGAATATCATTATGTGATGCAAATATGGTTCTCTAGATTCTTTGTAGTGAAGGATTCTTTTCTATCACTGCCATCGTGAAGAAGATGAACAGTATATAGTCCCTTTGGTTGAGAGTGGGAACAGTGAAGAAGAAGTCACGCCGTTCCCTTCTATTGTGAGAGGAAGGGGAATTCCTACATTTTGAAATATTTTAAGGATTCTTTGACAATTAATCAGGGGTAATTTAATAATTTTATTAATTATTCGTTGGATCATTGACATATGTTTTTATCGAGATCTTTAAAATTTTAGGGGAGGTTTTTATTAAAGTAAAATTATAAGGGAGACGTTTTGTTAAAGTAAAATTACAAGAGTGATTCTTAAGACTTCAGGGGAGGTTTTGTAATTGACCCTTTAAATTATGGCTGCTCATAAGAATACCCAACCAGACCAAGCAGACCAACTCGGACCGACCCAACCCGAATTGGCCGGGTTTTCTTCAGCACCGGGCGGTTTCGGGTTGTAAAAAATCATAAACCGACCTGAACTGAACCAACTTAGTAGTTGGTAGTTAGTTCCTAGTTAGTATTTACAACCTACTTAGTTTCTACTTAATTAAGTTGTCTCTATCCTAATTACAACCTAACTTAATTTATAGTCTTCTAGTTAGGAATGATATTAATGGCAAGTATTGTAAGACAACTAGACAATGAATTTTTTTGGAAAAATTTAAAGAAAAGAATCAAAGGATCATTGTTTTTATGGTATTTTACACCAAATAGGCAACCAATTACAATTAGAATTAGGTGTCATTTTTTAGTTAGATTAGTAGGTTTATTGAAATATACAAATTTCAACCTTTTTTCTCTAATACAGTTTGACTTTCTATTTTCTTGATAACTTTTATTCTAACTTGGTCCGCCCCCTACCAATTTTAGTATTATTTCTCTAATAGAATTAGGTGTCCTTTTTTACATCAAATTTCAGTATTTTTTCTCCAATCTACCAATTTATTGCCATGGTTGAACTTAGAGTCGAAACCGACCCAACCCGACTCAAACCGACCAGGTCGATTTTGCTTAACACAGTGTCGGTTTCGGTTTCAATTTCAGGTAACCCGACCAGGTCGGGTCGGTTGAAAAAATCTCAGTAAACCGACCCAACCCGACTCGTGAACAGCCATACTTTAAATTAAGGTTGTTCACGGGTCGGGTTGGGTCGGTTTACTGCGATTTTTCCAACCGATCCGACCTGGTCGGGTTATCTAACATAGAAACCGAAACCGACCCAGTGTTAAGCAAAACCGATCTGGTCAGTTTGAGTCGGTTTGGGTCGATTTCGGTTCTAAGTTCCTCCCTATGATAAAATCTTGCTAATTTTAAAAACTGTCATAAATTGAACGTCATTTCAGCCATCTCCTATGATAAAATTTAAATGAAAAGTTAATCACAAAAGTTGTTCATTAATCACTATTCACTAATCCAAAGTTTCTTACAACCATTCAAAAACTAGGTGGACTAATGGACTTTGGAACTTCATGTTTGAACTAAGTCGGTTTGGTTCGGGTCGGTTTCTGTTTTCTTGTGTGAAAACTGAAACCAACCCAAATCATAGGTTTAGGAATTTGCACAACCCAAAACCGACCCGTGCTGATGAAAACCCGGCCGACTCGGGTTGGATCTGTCCGGGTTGGTCGGATTGGGCCTTCTTATGAACAGCCCTACTTTAAATTTCATAAAAGCTTTCCAAGTCTCTGGAGGGTTCTAGAAAAAAAACTAAATATTACATCTAGGTCCTCGCGCGTGCGTGTGCGCATGATAGAACAGCCGATCCAGAAGACGTCCCTTAATCTCAAGAAAAAAAGATACCAGGAACTCTGCGAATCGCAAGGTATGTTCTGAAAAACCCTAGTTGCTCAATCTACACTCGTCCAGTCATCTGCTCTACAACGTGTAAGCCTTTTCCAGATCCGTGTTACAATTGTAACTGATAGTGTTTAGCTAGGGCTTAGCTCCATGTTCATTTCTGTTGTCTTCGTTTGGTATAGAATCTTGTTTTTTCTGAATATTGTATCTATCCGTTTTTTGCTTTTACCTTTTTTAGTGGGAAATTGGTGTTCATGGAACTCCGATGCAAGTGGCTAATGTTGTTTATCTATAGATTCGTGCTTAGATCGTTTTCCGAATGCATTTTTTTGGGCGGAAGTGGAAAACTTTTTTGTTACGTCTGAATGGAACTCTAATTTTACGATGATTATGTTGTCATTTCTGTATTTTCGTTGATGTCAATTCATGTATTTTGCCCGTTGTTCAGATCGTTTTTTTATTCGCCGGAAGTAGGCCAATTTTATCACCCGCCCGTTAGTTCCGGTGAAGATGAGTGTTGTCGGTTTCGATTTCGGTAATGAAAGCTGCATTGTTGCCGTTGCGCGGCAACGAGGGATAGATGTGGTTCTTAATGATGAATCGAAACGGGAGACCCCTGCTGTCGTCTGTTTCGGTGAGAAGCAGCGGTTCATTGGAACAGCTGGAGCTGCCTCAACTATGATGAACCCCAAAAACTCAATATCCCAGATAAAGCGATTGATTGGCCGTCAATTCTCTGATCCTGAACTTCAACAGGACCTTAAGGCCCTTCCTTTTACTGTCACTGAAGGGCCTGATGGGTATCCACTAATCCATGCGCGATATTTAGGGGAATCTAGGGTTTTTACACCCACACAGCTTCTAGGAATGGTGCTCTCAGACTTGAAGAGCATAGCGGAGAAGAATCTGAATGCAGCAGTTGTGGATTGTTGTATCGGGATCCCAGTTTATTTCACGGATCTTCAAAGAAGAGCTGTCTTGGATGCAGCTACAATTGCTGGTTTGCATCCTCTCCGGTTGATTCACGAAACAACTGCCACAGCTTTAGCCTATGGGATTTACAAGACGGATTTACCTGAGAACGATCAATTAAATGTTGCTTTTGTTGACATTGGTCATGCAAGCATGCAAGTATGCATTGCAGGCTTCAAAAAAGGCCAGCTGAAAATCTTGTCTCATGCCTTTGATAGATCTCTTGGTGGCAGAGATTTTGACGAAGTTCTGTTCCAGCACTTTGCAGCGAAGTTCAAGGAAGAATACAAGATTGATGTGTTCCAGAATTCACGGGCTTCCCTTAGACTCCGTGCTGCTTGTGAGAAGTTAAAGAAGGTGCTTAGTGCAAATCCGGAAGCACCTTTGAATATTGAATGCTTAATGGATGAGAAAGATGTCAGGGGGTTCATCAAAAGAGAGGAATTTGAGAAGATCAGTGTTCCAATCTTGGAGCGTGTTAAAGGGCCTTTAGAGAAGGCGCTGTCAGAAGCTGGGCTCACTGCTGAGAACATCCATGCAGTTGAGGTTGTTGGTTCAGGCTCTCGTGTTCCAGCCATCATTAGGATATTGACTGAGGTCTTTGGAAAGGAACCTAGACGCACCATGAATGCTAGTGAGTGTGTAGCCCGAGGCTGTGCTCTTCAATGTGCTATTCTTAGTCCCACTTTTAAAGTGCGTGAGTTCCAGGTAAAAATTCCTCTTCTTATGCCAGAACTTCAAAAAGTTCATTGTTATTATTATGACAAAGCAAACTGCTATTTTACATTCATACTTGTTATTTTGTTCAGACACTTTATTATTATTTTGTCGTTTTGTTTTTTCTTGTTTACTCATAGACCTACCTTGATTTATTGATAATCTTCTTTTTGCCCCTCTAAACAGGTAAATGAGAGCTTCCCTTTCCCAATTGCATTGTCTTGGAAGGGTTCAGCTCCAGATGCCCAGAATGGTGCAGTGGATCAACAACAGAGCACCATTGTCTTCCCAAAGGGAAATCCATTTCCTAGTGTCAAGGCTTTGACATTCTACAGGTCAGGCACATTCACGGTTGATGTCCATTATCCTGATGTGAGTGAATTAAAAGCGCTTGCGAAGATCAGTACCTATACGGTAAGCATATCCACCTGAAGTTCTCTGTTGTGAATCAATAACCGTTTTAACTTGGCTTCATATTTGTATGATATTTTGTTTTGAGCTTCCTAATTTTTTTCCTTTTTAATTTTCAAAATGTATCCTTAACAGATTGGTCCATTCCAATCTGCAAAAGGTGAACGTGCAAAGCTGAAGGTGAAAATTCGCTTGAATCTTCATGGCATTGTATCTGTCGAGTCTGCAACCGTAAGTAATGCATATAATTGTGATTTAATTCTTGTCATAATTGTGATCTTTTTTTGTTTTATTAACTCCTTTTAATCTCCATTTCAGCTACTGGAAGAAGAAGAAGTTGAAGTTCCAGTTGTAAAGGAGCCACTTAAAGAAGCTGCAAAGATGGAAACTGATGAGGTCCCAAGTGATGCAGCCCCCACTGGTACTGGAGAAAATGATGTAAACATGCAAGATGCCAAGGATGCCACTAATGCTTCAGGGGTGGAAAACGGAGCTCCTGAGTCTGGAGACAAGCCTGTGCAGATGGAAACAGATGCAAAGGTTTGAAAAATCATGCATATCTTTTGATTGCTTTGTTATTATAAATGTTGTGTGTTTTCAAGGTTGTGTTTTCTGATTTTTCTTCTATGGAGCTTTTCCTAGTGTATTACTTGATCGTATGAATTCCATTTATGCATTTATGTTCTTTTTCTTTATTATTTCTTTTCTTTCCATATGTGCTGGTATTTTTTGTCCTGGAGTGCACGGGCAACTTTTGAATCTTGTGATTTTTCAACATTTGCTCTTTGAGGTAGCAAAGTTTTTTATTTCTTTGATATCCTCTCTATTTTTGTGTACATGGAATGATATTTTGTTTGATTGCTATTATTAATCTAGTCTGATATGTTCTAGTCGAAAGGGAGGGTGGTAAGTTCATTGTAATGTCAAAAAGTCAACTAATAGCAGTTGGAGCCTATCCACTCTTTTATGGGTGAGGTTCATATATATATATATATAAGAATTGAAGTGATTATAATCAAAAGAGTTTGGAGCATGATACTTTCTTTGACCTTTTGGGCCATTTGGTTTTAATATTTTGAGAACAGAAGATGTGAAATTGAAGCTATAGAAAGGATGGTGGCCTTACGAATCATGTTTTGTCGTTAATAGCCTTTTTATGAATTGTAATGTTTGATATTTAGTATTTTGTATATTTTCATTATATTGTACATTGCCTTGGAGTGGGTGCTGATCCTTTTTGTAATTATTTTTGTCATATGATAATAAACTACAATACCTATCCATTTCAAGAAAAATGTTAACGTGTGGGTGTGCTGGGAGGGGGGAGGTTTAATAGCTCCAATAGTAGGGGTGACAAAAAATGGATAATGGGTCCAAAAGAAGTCAATCGATGACATTGTTGAATTGGTAATAGACAAAAAAAATTATAAAAACATAAATTTACATGCAATGTCACTTGTTTGTATTGCTATTGATGCTTACTTGCTTTGTTATGAATTGCTTACTTGCTATTTTCTATTATGAGCTATTGTTATTTCATGCCTTTGCTTAAACTCACTGAAGATGCAACATACATGGAAGCATGGCTTATGAATTTCATATTACAAGGAAAACAATCTGCCAAAAAATTAGTCTTTAATCTTTGATTGGCAAATAAAAAAATATGACCTAATTGAAGGTAGAAGCTTTTTGATAGAGAAAGTCTACAAGGTGTTGAACACTACCTCATTAAGGTAGTTAAAGAGATGACCTCGTTGAGTGTAGAAGCTTTGTGATGGAAGAAACATCTAAGGCGTAAACACCTTTTTTTTGTTTAGTTTCATGCATTCCTTTCATGTTTTAGTCACACCGTGACTACAGGGATCTTGTCATTCATTATAATTTTCTAGTTTTGCTGCTTCATCTATCACTTAGAAATTGGGATAAGTATGTTTGGCATCAAGTGTTCCTTCTTAGAGATATCATCATTTGTGCCATTTAGGAGTTATGCCCTTTCTGTAGGCCAAATTTCTCTTTCAATTCTTTTAACAGCTTAGTTTTTGTCTGCAGGTTGAAGCTCCAAAGAAGAAGGTGAAGAAAACAAATGTCCCAGTTGCAGAGCTTGTTTATGGTGGAATGGTACCAGCAGATGTACAGAAAGCTGTGGAGAAGGAGTTTGAAATGGCTTTGCAAGATCGGGTCATGGAAGAAACAAAGGACAAAAAGAATGCTGTGGAAGCGTACGTTTATGATATGAGGAATAAGGTTGGTGAAAATCCTTAATTGCCTCTATCATAAAAAGATACTTCATTGCAAGTTTTCATGGTTATGGTTTACTCATGAAATTTACGTCTGCTGTTTTGTTTCTCCAGCTCAATGACAAATATCATGAGTTTGTAACTGCATCAGAAAGGGAGGATTTCACTGCTAAGCTTCAGGAGGTGGAGGATTGGTTATACGAGGATGGGGAAGATGAAACAAAAGGCGTATATATTGCCAAGCTTGAGGAGCTCAAAAAGGTAGGAGCTGTTGCTAACTGTTGGTTGGATAGTTTTATACTTTTGTTTGTATGATATATTTGGATTTAATGTCTGATGGAATTGCAGCAAGGTGACCCTATCGAGGAAAGATATAAGGAGAGCTCTGAACGGGGACCAGCAATTGACCAACTTGTCTATTGTATCAATAGTTACAGAGAAGCAGCACTGTCAAATGATCCCAAATTCGATCACATTGACATGGCGGAAAAGCAGAAGGTATTTTGATGTTCCATCTTCCCATATTTTCTAGCTCCGGGGAGTCATCTCTGACCCCTTTTGCAGCTTTGCTTATAGTTATAGTTAATGTATTAGGGGTTTTATTTCCTATTTGCTAGGCCTAATTGTTCTTTCTTGTTAATTTTGCAGGTCATAAATGAATGTGTGGAAGCTGAGGCATGGTTGAGAGATAAGAAGCAGCAGCAGGATGGGTTGCCCAAATATGCTCCTCCAGTTCTGCTGTCAGCTGATGTGAAAAAGAAGGCAGAGACAGTCGACAGGTATGGCTTGCGTCAGTGCGTGATTCAATTTGATGTACATAATCAATGATTGCCAGTGGACATTTATATTGGTGCTTGTTCTGATTTGTCTTGTAACCGTGGTGTTTCTGTTGAGATCGGCTTCAGTCAATGCAAACTCCCGTTTGAACAGCCTTTACAGCCTACCATTGGGAACATCTCCGTAGTTCTGTGTTTTATTTCATTCCTAATGCAAGGCTACAAAGACTGTTCGAATGGGGCTTGACTGAATCCGGTTTTGTTCCTGTTTCTACTCTTGCATGTATTGAAAGTATGAGTTTGCTTTAACAGGTTTTGCAGGCCTATAATGACGAAGCCTAAGCCAGCACCCGCTAAGCCTCAGACTCCTACGGAAACACCATCTCCAGCTAAGGGGACTGAGAGCCAGCCCCAAAGTAATGACAACGTCAATGAAAATCCTGCAGAAGGTAGTGCTGAGGCAACACCAGCTGCCTCTGAGCCGATGGAGACTGATAAACCCGAGGGTGCACCAAATCCAGCATAAGATGGTTATGAAAATCGTGGGATTTGTGCTATGTTTTCTTCCCACCTCAGTATTGGTCTAAAATTGTAATATCAATTTATATTTTGAGCCTGATTTATGGCTGCGGTTGAAGGAGTGAGGTTATAGTTGATTTATAGGTCTTTGCTTCTTTTTTTTTTTCTAATGTGTACCACCACCTTTGATTGGTGGGCTACTCATATTATTGGGGAGGTCTCTAGAATCCAGTGTTTTTTTCTTAAAGGGGTTTCAAGAGAAGCTATTGAACTTTTTCTTCTCTCTTTCTCTCTCTACAACTCGATACATTTTTGAAGGCCTTATTGTTTTCTTTTCCAGGTAATGTAAGAAAATTTCTTTTTCCATCTTATAACTGCGCTTCATGTGTGCGTCCTCGGAGCTGCTAGCACAAATTTGTCCGCCTTTTTATCCCCAGCTCTTATTTGGCGTTCATTCTATTTTCATCTCTCAACATAAAGAAAATAGGTTGACTATACGATTCTTGGAAAAGCATTATGGGAGGACAAGAAAGTTGCGATTAATTTTTCCATCTGAATGAATTGCTTACATTTGGGCTTTCCAAAAAACAAAACCATATGATAGTTACTAGCGTTTGTTATTTATTTCGCAGGTGTGCAAATTACTGGTAGGCAATACTTGACAAAGTAATGCTCAGTTACATATTTGTTGAGTCTTTCGATTTGCTTGGTAGTGTGGCTGGTAAAATTGACTATTAAAGTTGGGGCCAAGGTACCGCCCAACTCGCTTTGTTGTTAAAAAATCTGACGGATTGAAACATGCAAGACGGTCCTTAGAATAAATAAATTTTTATGGTAGCCTCTGTTCTCGAAGTCGATGCCTTTTATTTTTTGGTAATGTCACTAAGTCGATGCCAGGACTCGTAATTGCATTGCAGTATTTTGTAGATACGGACAACGATGGGTTCTTTTCTAATTGGAGGGGAATTAACATTTAGAAAATATGCTTATAAATCCGCTTGAAACTCGTTTATTCTATTATTATTTAGTAATTAGTATACTGTATAGTGTATACTGATGTTTCTATCCGTTGCTTCTGTGATTGAGGGCCAGTTTGGGCGGGCTTCATGTTGGTTGAGCTGCATTGATCTAGCCGTTTGGAGAAGCTAACAACAATAGCTTTGTTGGAAAGTTGATTTCTCAGGTCATGTAACTGATGTAAGAGTATTTTTGGCTTTATGCCTTTTTCACCAAACATGGATTCACAACTTTTCATGTATTTCCTATTTTCAACAAAATCGCTGCATGAAAGCCCTCCAAAACGGGTGCCAAGGAATGATTAGTGAGGTGGTTAGTAGGAGCGGCAATGCGTACCCACTATACCCTTGTTAGTAGGTTCAGACGTTTAGTGCTCCGTGCTCACAATTCAGACTTGAGGTTATTTTGTCAAACTATCAGATTTAATGGAGCAAATATACTCTTCTCTATTTTTCTATAAATAACATGCATGTGACATAAAATAGAAATAGGGAAAATTCTTGATCAGTATCCCGTACTTTGGTCCCCGAACTGTAAAATGTGACAATTGTATCCAATTTTTCAAAATGTGATAATCCAGTACCTGCCGTTAACCAGTCGTTAAGTGACATTTGAAAAGTCAAAAATATCCTAAGAATGCCATCTAATTCTCTTTATCAACTATCGAAACATTGACAATAAAATGAACAACCCTAAATTCTAGATTCTTCTAAATAGTCACCAACTTTTTTGAATAGAAGATGCTAGGATTTGAGAGTATTCAACGCTTGGATGGTTGATAAAGAGAATTAGATGACATTCAAAAGGCATTTTTGACTTTTCAAATGTCACTTAACGGTTATTTAACGGAAGGTACTGGATTGCCACACTTTAAAAGTTCAGGTACTGGATTGTCTTTTAAAGTTCAGGGACCAAATTGTCACTGGAACCAAAGTACAGAGTATTGACTGACCGGAAATTTTCCCATAGAATTACTACTTCCTTGGGTTTTATCAATTTCTATACATCCAGTTAGTGTTAAAAAAAGAACTTTTTTTAGGTTTAATTTGGGAAGAATATAAGTACAAATATGTATTGTATAGCAAATTTTGCATGAACACATTTGTATTTGTACTGTTCCCAAACTGAACTTTAATTGGACATCTATTTTATAACTATTTTGCTTGAACAAATGGGTCACAGGTTTGTTTTACTTGAATAGATCAAAAGTAGGTTTATTTTACTTGAATAAATGAGTTACGTATTTGTTTTAATTGATTATATTGGCCGTAGATCTGTTTTCGGACCTGGACCTCTAAAAAGTAGGGTTGCAACTCGGATTAGACTGAGTTAAAATTAGACTTCCAAATTCCAGTTGGTCTATTCAATTTTTGGCAAAAGCTCAACCTAAGCGGCTAAGCCCTCTCAAGTTGCACTCCAAGTAAAATGCTGTGTTCTTTGCTTTATAATGATTTAAGATTTCAAATATTTACAAAAATGCATGGTGACTTTGCCTTATTACAATCAAACAAACTAATATACATGGAGATGTCCTGCCGGTTTGTATTCTCTTGTTCATTTGCATTTATATTGATGAAGTTTGCGTTTGTACTATTAACAAACACAGACAAAAAAAGAAAAAAAAAAAGAAAAAAAGAAAAAGAAAAAGAAAAAGAAAAAAGAAAAAAGAAAAAGAAAAAAAAGATAGTGCAAAATAGGCGGTTCTGGGATTTATACATGTGGATTCATAACAACAAAACTGATTAGATTCAGAATAATTGAATGTACGCTCAAACTGGATGTGAGGGAGCCAGAAACAGTGTGTTGGTTTTGGCTTGAATGTATGACAACGTATCTCAAAGGCTTTTTTAGGCATTGCCCGTTTATTTGATAAACAGTGCCATGCCATTGTCAAACCAACGTTTGTTTCATAATGTGGTTATTATTCCGTTGATGTAATGTTTAATGTGCCTAATAACATCTATTTGTCAACAAACCCTTAAAAAACATTTATCAATAATTTTTATCAAGAAAAGTAAAAACGTTTATTTAATAAACGGACTTCATGCAAACATATACTTATTGTTTATTTAATAAATCAAAATTAGAAATTTTTTTTAGTCCTAATATTCACGACGAGTGCGGACTCAATTGGCCAATTGTTTTGCTATAAATATTATGAACCGATAAATATCTTGGAGGCCCACTATTATTGGGTAGATCAAAAACTGCTGAATGGAATTATTTGGTTGATAGATTGAAGTCCAAACTTAGTTCTTAGAAGAAACACACTTTGAGCCATGTGGGTCCCAAAACTTTAATCAAATCCACTCTACATGCTATACCTCAGTACATCATGCAGTCTTATCTCTTATCTAAAGCTATTTGTATGGATCTTAATAATATTTGTAGGACTTTTTGGTGGACTAATTCAGATAAGCATGGTCTTCATATGCATTCTTGGGATACATTCTTGAGATAAAAAAGATGAGGGAGGACTTGGACTTCGTGATGTATCAGCTCTTAATGAAGCTCTGATTCTCAAACTTGATTGGCATTTCCTCTCCAACCCATCAGCTCTTTGGGTGAAGGTGTTAAGGGCAAAATATATCAGGACTAAAAATTTCTGGTCCGTACCACTATTACCCTCCGGATCATACATTTGGTGAGGCATTTTAAAGTTGAGAGATATTTTGCGCCAAGGTTGCCATTGGCTTATTGGGGATGGGTGGATATTGATGCATTGCACAACCCTTGGCTACCAAATGGGGTTCTTCCCTCTACCATGGCTCCCACACCAAGCCACAACATCAAAGTTGCAGGGTTTATTGAGCACTCCTCTATGACTTGGCACAATAATCAGATTGCAACCTCCTTTGATTCACTTACTACTCAGTTTATTGTCTCCATTTGACTTCCTTTACAGGCTGACACAATGCCAGACAAACTAGTTTGGAAGTTGACACTTCATGGATGCTATACTACATCATTAGGTTACAAACTTCTAACCTCTATGCATCCCACTTCTTCAAGACAGCAATTTCTGGCTTCTAACATTACTTGGCGTCAATTCTAGAGCCTCCAGAATGTCTGTCCTAAATTATTCCTCTTCACTTGGGGGTTGCTCCAAACCCACTAGAAGTAAACTCCACAAAATTATTCATTTTTGTAACGACATATCCTTTTTGTGAGTCGGCTATAGAGACAATGGATCGCTTATTTCTGCATTGCCAATTTTCTAGTTGGTTTGGTTTGGTTCCTCTATGAGCTTTAGGCTTGATTCATACCCGACGAGAAGTTTATCAAATTGGATTTCTCTTGATTTGAGTAACGGTCAATCTTATGGTTTGATTTGTGGTCAGTACTTCAATATCCTTTGGCACATTTGGCTTGTCCATAATGCCCTCATATTTAACCATCAACACCAATACCTATAATTCATTATAGAAAAGGCTCGAGTGGATTGGCAGTTGCATTCTGATGTTATTCATCACTTTTTAGTGGTACCTAATGAGAATATTTCTTTGGCCTCAACTATAGTGATCCATTGGCTTCCACCACTAAGAGGTAGTGTCAAAATCAATTTCGAGCCACTGCTAACGATAAATCTAGCATTGGTATTATTATTCGAGATGATAATGGATCATTTCTTTTTACACACACTATTCCAATAGCACCTCAGCCTGCACTCTTCCATGAAGCCTTAGCTCTTTTGGAAAGCTTTCGTTTTACTGCTTCTCTTGGTATTTCTTCTGCTGTAATTGAAGGTGATACACAACTCTTGATTAATCCCTTATACCTTCATGAAGTATCTACACTCTATTTATGCATTGCAAAAGATTCCTATCCCACCTTCAACACTATTTAGTTACTTTTGCTCCACGGATTTATAATCGAGTTGCCCATAAACTTGCTCAACATGCATTGTTTTGTTTTTGAGCGCACACGTGATCTGTGGCACCCATTTATTGATTCATTCTTTGGAATTTGATGTAACTGAGTAATTGTTGATTGGATCAGCCCTCGGGCATTTTCGACAATAAAAAGGCAAGTTTTGGAGTGCCTTATTTGGGCTGGGTTCACATCAATACCTACTTATTTTTGTTTCCGAAACAAGTCCAAATAATTGTTTATTTTTTATAATAGTCATTTATTTGAGAAATTGTTTATTTTCTTGACCAATCTCTCGTCACGTACTAGAATAAACACTTATTCAAAAAATACTTATTTTTAATCATCATTCCCAAATTCTGCCTAAATCTTGATTCCTACTTCCAATCATAATGAAAACTCCGGAATCGTAGATAATTCATTGATTCCTATAGGAGCTTCCGATTTCGGCATTAGCGCTCCCCTGTTTTAGCGATTCCATATGTTTTTCCATTTTACATTAGTCGGTTGATATATTATTCTCCTAAGTCCTAAACTTTTTATATATCTTTTTTTTTTCCTCAACTTTTCCGTTGCAAAAACAAGTAAATGAGAAAATTAAGAGAGAAACCATGACAATTTAGATCAAACACCAAGCAATAATGGATTTCCTTTTTCAGTAGTTATTGACCAAGTAAGAATTAATGCAGTCAATCCCGATACTGTTAATTGCGAATGATTTAGGATCGCTTGAACGCCAACGATCACGACCTGATTCAGATATCAACTCAAATAAGTAGAATCTCGAGTGGCGGGATGGATCGCAGCCTGAATTCAGATATCATCAAGAAGAGTATACGCTTTACAATGATCGCTAGTACAATCCTTCTCGTACAATCGGCCTTTCTACTCAAATACAAACTAATCAATCATCGCTAACAAAAGTAGCAAAATCCATTTCTACTTTACAACATTTCCTATACAACATAAATTCACTAATTTCATTTCGGTTCTTGTCATTTCTTTCCTGAGTCTTGACAACCAAAGATCAATTTCACAATCACCCCCCAACAAGAAGCAACAAGTATTCAAGAAGCCAATAACAGGACATATAATAACAACTATGTACTGTCAAGCGTCAAACCAACAAGCTAAGCGAGTCACTTGTGAGACTTTCCCCTCAGTTTGACTTTCAGAACCTTCTCCATCTTCGCCAACACAGCCTGGTTGGGCACCGCTTTCCCGTTCTCGTACTCCTGAACCACCAGAGTCCTCTCGTTGATCAACTTTGCCAGCTCCGCCTGACTCATCTTCTTCGCCAACCTCGCCTTTTGTATCGCCTGTCTCACCTCCGTCGACACCTTGTCCAGCGCCGCAGGCTCTGTTCCCTCGTCGAGTTTCCTCGCGTTCACCACCGTCGCCGGTTTCTTATTCGAGCCCGCGTCGAACTTCTTCACCGTCTGAACCGCTGCCCCGGAACGCAAGGCCTGGTTCACGGCTTTGGGATCTCGGAGGGCCTGGGCATTGGGCTTGGATTTGTGCAGGACGACTGGTTCCCAGTCCTGAGTAAGGGCTCCAGGAAATCTGCTCGGCATCCTTGAGTCGATGGATAAAGAAAAGACGACGATTTCTGATACCAGCACTAAAGTGCGAGTGAGAAAATGAATGGAGATTACCACGACGATCAACTCAGATTGGAAGTGTGGTTTATAGAAAATCTCTATGTCTAGAAGGTTCTCTGTATTTCTGTGAGCGGTTTTTGGCTCTGGAAGTCTGGAAGGTTCGATGCACCGTGCATCCATGTAAGTTGTTAACTGGTTTTATAAATCTAGTGGTCCCTTCAAATGGGCTTTGGTATTTTTAAATGGATTGCAATCAATTATGAGATAAAACATATGATATCCGAAAAACAAAAACGTCTTAGCGAATCACCTATTATTTATCACAATTTATGGGTAGGTTTTGATTGATAAATTACATCGCAATTAGGGGTGTTAATGGACCATTTTTGGATTGGATCCCATAATTTGGACAGATTGGATGGATCGATATATCAATATGGACCAGTCCAAACATAATGATTCAAAGTATTTATTGGATTGGACCTGGTCCATGTGTTATGAATTTATATTGGATTGGATTGGATTGAGTCAATATCTGATTCATTAATGGATCAGGTTTGAATTATAATTAATCTAAATTAAAACAAATTTGAACATATTGGATGAGGGTCTAGACATTGAATTGGACCAGTCCAAAATATTCATTGGATTGGATTGGACTTGGTCCATTTGTAATAGACTTACATTGGATTGGATCGGATTGGACCAAATCTGGCCCAATTGACAACATAAAAAAGAATTTGGATATTGATTAAAAAAGGGGGCTACTAGTAGACTATGGGGGCTGTAATTAAGAATTTTGCAATGAAGTGTAGAGTACTTTTCCCTAAATTTTTCTGATGCAGCACAATCGTTTCTGTTCAGTCTCCGGCGGCATTGTCCAGTCTATCAGATATTGGAGGAGCCCTTTTTGGCACTTTTTTTTCATACCACCATCACTTTGTGGGGATGCGGCACTTATGGATTAAACTTTGGAAAGGACTGCCTTTTTTCTCCTCTCATGCCTAGGGACAATTTGCTAACTATTTTAATAACACTTTCTTTGGGATGGAGTTTGCATTTGCAAGATGTCTATTATGTCCAAGCCTGGGTGAGACAATGGTTTGCCTTCTCCTTTTCACTTACTAAGTTTGAAGTTTTTAGTTGTGATTGCCATGGAAGGTGGTGACTTTGACAATCATTATTATGCTTATCCTCGTTTTGGGAGTTTCTTGTTGAATTTTGACTATATTGGAGGTCGGTCCTCCTTTATTGGTGTTTCTGTCTTTTTGTGCCATTTGTAGAATTCTTATAAGATTTCTCTCCCAAGTGATCGAGATTTGTTTTTTATCATTAACTTGGTTTGGGTTTATCTTTTATTTTTTTGACTTTTATTGTTGATTGTACACTCATGGGTTGTATTTGAGATTCTAAGCATTCTTAATGAAATTAGCCACTGCCTTCAAAGAAAAAAAAATTGATACCTTGAAGGAGCGCGAAGGTTTCAATGACAATAGGTGAGTGTGTATCTGTCGGGTCGGACGTGCTAAAATCATTGAACTTGCCTTTGAAAAAAACATATTAGCCATCCCTCAAAAGAATTTATCTAGCCTCTTGAGCAGGGGTGTCAATTGGACTAGATCTGGTCCAATATGATCGAGTCCAATGTGGGTCCATTATAAATGTACCAGGTCCAATCCAATCTAGTGAATGTTTTGGACCAATTTGGACTGGTCCAATTCAATGTCTAGACAATCCAATATGTTCAAATTCATTTTGATTTAGATTGATTTCAACCCAAACCCAGTCCATTGATACACATTCTTATCTTATATCAATGGACTAGATATTGGATTATTCCAACCCAATCCAATATAAATTTGTTACGAACGGACCAGGTCCAATCCAATCTAATAAATGTTTTGGACCGGATTGATCCAATCCAATATGTCTTGTTGGTCCGTCCAAATTGATTTTGGACTGGACAAAGTCCAATTCAAAACCAGTCCATTGGCACCCTTACTCTTGAGAACTTTCTTCTCACCTAACCGGTCATTTGTCCATGTGCATGGAGGACATGTAAACCCAAATCTAGTAGGGCAAAAACAAAGTTCTCTCCAGGTGTTTAGATAAATCATGTGACTTTGAAGCTTTCCCTTTATAATCTCTAACGTAAGGCTGCAACTTGGGTGGGTTAACTCTATTGTACATGTCATATATAAATATATGTTATATATGATATATCATACATTGATTTGTTTAGATGCATGATAGTTGTATAACCCCCACTACATACTATCATTTATTTCTTTCAAGGTAATCATTTTACTTAATCCTAATCGGAAATACTGAAAACTTAATAACATGTTTTTATGTTTTCTTAATATTTTATTCTTCATTTTTCTCTCTATTGTTTGCCACCCAAAGCTTGCAACCAATAAAAGATCTATCATAAATCACAAATCATAATAAACTATAGTCATTTCAAACACTTTTTTTTTGTACTAAAAGAACTAATAAAACATGAGATATGTAATGAAAGTTGAATTAAGATCTAAATTGAGAAGTTCCATGAGATTTTAAGGGATTGGAAGAAGGTTAGGTTGGGCCTGGGGAAGGCCATGAGCCAAGCTCTTCTCGAGCTACTCAAGCTCGACTCGACTTAGTTTCAACCAAGCTTCAAGCTGAGCTTGAGCCCATTTTATAGGCTCGTTTATTAATCGAGCCGAGCTTGAGCCTAGCTCACGAGTCAAGCTCGAAAAGCTACATATACATGCATACATACGTACGTACAATAATAATAATAATAATAATAATAATAATAATAATAATAACAATAATAATAATATAAAATTGTAGAAAATAATATATATAATAAAAATATTATACATATAATATTTATATTTTTATATATAATAATTACTAATTATTATAATTCTTAGTTTTTTAAATATCAAATAAAAATAGACATATATATATATATATTTTTTTTATTTTTATAAAACATTTTTCTCAAGTTGAGCTCGAGCCGAGCCAAGCTCGAGCTCAAGGTTCTAACTCGAACCGAGCTCGAGTCTCATACTACCTTAGCGAACTGAGATCGAATAGCTAGCTATTCGGCTCGGCTCGACTTGAATTCACCCTTGTTGGGCCAAATCTGAGCCTAACCCAACCCAAAGTTGACTTCGGGTTGGGTTGGTTAGGGTTGAAGGAATTTAGTTAGGGTTAGGGTTGGCTTCAACCCTACCTAACCCAGCTCGACTTGCATCCCTACTCTGATGAAAATCAACTCATCCTTTCCCCCATTAAGCCCCGGTGGATGTTTCTAAGATTATCTATTTGTACCATTTTCTCCCATAATTCAGCTCAGCTATCCAAATTAAAATAATTTCCTAGTACACATGTTATTTGATATTTTTACTCTTATAAGTATTTCATTTGATGTTTTAAATGTCACTTGCAAATCATTTTTTTAGTAGCGTAAAATAGACTAGTAAGGCCCTATTTGTTTTTCAATAAGTTATTCATACTGGTAATATTTTCTAAGGTAAATAAGATAATGACCACTTTATCTATAAAAAATATTATTAAAAGGGGTAATTTTGCTCCATCCAAGTGTTGGCAACTATCCCTCTAGGTGGGAAAAATTTTTTACCAACCTAGAATATGGGTATCACTTACCCGAGTAAGTGAGACTGACACCTAGGAAAATAAATTTTCCATGGACCCAACATAACTCTGAAAAAAAAAAGAACATGGGTTTCTTAGTTGATGGGAACCAAAATCCCATTGACCAACTCCCCCCTATCTCAAAATCCAAAAAACGAATGGACCCTAAGTTTATCACTTGCAAATCTTTCATTTGATATTTCTACAGTGAGATGGTATCTATCCTTCAGTTATATATATATAAGAAAGAAAAATCCATCTTTGCTTGGTAACTATCTCCCCCCATCAAGTTCCAATATTTTTAAATGAAGAAAGTTGCATAACCATGTGGCTCCAATGCTTTTATGTAGATTCATTGATTTCACAACATTTAAAACTTCTTTAATTGGACCCTCCTCTAGCATAGAGATATGATAATTGGTCAAACTTGGAAGTTGAAGGTTTTTAGGAATGGCAACAGGGTGGGACAGGGTGAGGAGCCACTCTCAATCCCCATCCTGACAAAAATCCTTTTTCCTATCCCCACTTGTAGGGTTAAGGTTGTCCCCATCCTTGCCCCCATGAGAATCCCTACTCCCCATGAATTTTTTAATGATGTTAATTATTTTGTTTTTGCTTTTAACTTCATATAAAAATTAAAAATAAAATAGTCAAAACTTATGATCATAAATTCAATTAAATATATTAAACCATATTTTTAAAAATATATTAATATACATACATACATACGTACAAGAAGGGATCCCCACATTATGGGGAGTGCTCTCCTTGTTGCTACCAATGGAAATGAAAATTTTCCCATCTCTGTTCCTATAGGGGAAAAATCATCACCTTCCCCACCATGGGCAGATCCTTGCAATGGTCGGGGAAATGGAGAAAATTGGCATCCCTAGATCCGCAACCCCTGGAATTTTCTTGTATGTCCCATATTGACTAAATTTGATTCTCTAACAATTTTGTTATTTCCTTTTCCTTCATTTTTAACCATGCCTCTATATTTCCTCTTCTTTCTTGATAGGGATGGCCACGAGCCGAGCTCTTCACGAGCTACTCGAACTCGGCTCGACTCAATTTCAATTAAGCTTCGAGCCGAGCTCGAGTCGAAGCTCGAGCCTAATATAGCTCGGTTTATGAGGCTCACGAGCTGAGCTCAAATAGCTACAAATAATAATAATAATAATAATAATAATAATAATAATAGTAATAATAATAACAATAATAATAATAATAGTAATAGTAATAGTAATAGTAATAATAAAATATATAAAAATTATATATATATTATTTTTATATATAATAATAACTAATTATTATAATTCTTAACTTAGTAAATATCAAGTAAAAATATTATATATATTTTGTATTTTTACAAAACATTTTTTTCTCAAGTCGAGCTCGAGTTTTGTACTACCTTGGCGAGCCGAGCTCGAGCCTCGTACTATTCATCTTGAATCCACCCCTATTCCTTGAACTCCTCGTGTTCTCTAAAACTTAGCAAGTTG